AAACATAGCTCATTGGAAGAGCAGTCTATTTCCGTTGGTTACTGTTATTTAAATTGTAAATAAATTATGAGACATAAAACTATGGATTTTTACCATTGAGGTAAGTGATTTTTCTTAGTTTAGTTAATTCGTTGACATTGACCAAAATAACAAATAATTTCATCTAAACTATATCAGGGGGTATACATAAGTGACTTGTGGTTTTATAAGTTGTTAAGTAATTATTTTTGGTTGTTTTATATTTTACATATAGCGACAATTAAGTCGTAGGACGACTTTACAACATTTAAACGAAAAGAGATACCACATCCAAATTTTGCATATCATTGATGATAATAGGAGGCTACATATTTTGTGTACAATGTGATTGGATGTCACCTATGGGGGACGGCCCATAGTAAGTTGAAAATCCCAAAGGTAAGCATAGGTTAATATGCACATCAAATTAAAGGTCTTAAGGTCTTGTCGAACTAAAAGCAATGCCGCAAACTATACCTCAAATGAAAATTCGAGTTAAACATGACAGCTGTACTGTATTTATGTAATTGTGTTTAAACTAGCCGATGCTTACTGTAAACCAATGTATCAATGAAACATTATAGAACTAAAATCCATAGATTGTATTTTTTTTTAAACTTATGTAATATCTTGAAAAAGATACACATTAAAACATTTCTTAGCCATATATTTTTATTTAGTTAAATTATTAATTTTTTGCTTTACAGTAAATATTTCAGTTTGAAATGCTAACTTTGGCAGTAAAGAAATTAAGCAAGCTAACAATTTAATATTGAACCCATCAAAGTATAATTAAAAGGGGCTGTTTTCATCCTGTACCTTGATGAAAGCAAAATAAAAGCATATTACTTCCATAATTGCTTCGCTGGTCATCATATAGACTAGCGCGGCAATGCAACTTTTCAAATTACTAAACGCTATTTTAAGAAGAAAATGTATTTTACTAATACAAGGTGTAATTTTTGTCCATAAATGATTGATAAACTATGCTTATTTATTCTTTGGACTCAAACATTTTATCTATATCTATACTATTATGAAAATGAGGTGGTGTCTGTCTTTCTGGGCAGATGTCACTAGGTACTAAAATACTTAAACCGATACAGCAAAATTTAAGTACCAAGATGGTCCACATTTCTAGGAATGTCTTAGGCCTATTTACTTCCCTGAGTTCCTCTCGGGCCCTTGGACGTCCAAAGATTTGAGGTAAGGTTTTCAAAAGTATTTAATTGGTCTCCATAGAAGCATGAGGAAATTCAAAATGTTTGACATTTCAATTTAAACAATCAGAACTGCCAAATACTTATTTCACAATTTCAGACAGCTGATCCAAAGAAATGAAATATATTTTACTAAACTATATGTGGTAATATAAAACTTTATCATAGATTATTATTTATTCTAAATCTATGCCATTGATTATGAAACTGATTTTCATTCCCGTTGTGAAGCATGGGTACAGCAGCTAGTCAGTTGATTAAGTTGCAATTATATATTTAAGTGTTAAATAAGTGTAAAATAATGTGTTAAATTAAGTGTAAAATACTGTCTGAGGGAATTATTTTAGATATAGAGACCAGGTACGCTACCTAATACATGTCTGCAATACATTAGTTAATGTCGATACTGAACCCAACCGATTTACCTACAATATAATCCTCTTAACCTTAATTATAACCTATTCCTGAATTTGCAAACTATGTAACATTTTCAAGGATTAAACAAGAAATTATTAAATGTGTTACTCAAAGTTTTTCTATTGTTTGTGTAATTGTTGTGAAATTAATCACTGGCATTGACTAATGTTCAGTAATGTCCAATTAATTTGTTTTAAATTTCATATTTTAGAATAATATACCCAAGTGATTCTAATTTCATTACTGGGCAATATCAGTTGCTTAAAACTAAATTGGTGGTAGATATTCTTTGATTTTAATTGGGTTATTAAAACAGTTGAGAAATAAAAAAATTATAAAAGTAAAATTATAATTTTTATGATACTGAGGACTTATTAATTTTTCACATTTTTCAGTTTCATCAGAAGAAGGTATTATTACTTAATTATAATTATTCATTATCCTCTCCAAATAGATTTTTTCCTAACTTTAAATTCTTAGATAAATAGAAGTAACTACAAATGCAATTTTATGTCTCTAATAGAAATGCCAACATATTGTGAAAATTTTCTGAAGTGTGTTTGATATTTTGGCAACTTGCTTGAATGTGATATCGACTAAATGTTTTATATTTTTTGAGGGTGAGGCTTAGTCTGCACTGTACTTTTTGTTTTTATTACCAGAAGCAAATTATAAAAATGTCATTGATTATATATTTTTTAAATAACACGAAGTTATATAAAGACGTTACAATTTAGAATAGAATAGAATAGAATAGAATTTATTGGTTGAAAGGAGATGATGTTTTGGAATAAAATTACAATTACAAATAAAATTTATACATTTTGAATCCTAGTTAGGCCACGAGTAAATGTTTGACCCAGAAAACTTGGAAAAGATGAAGTGTCTGAATATACAAAAGTGGAGCCAATTTCCCACAACGTTTGAGCAAAACTACATTGATTGCTAGTGCTTTGGGAACAAACTTTGGTTTTATTTAAACATTGCCCTACTGGCAGAAATGTAATTTGATAATTTTTGCTTCTATTTGTGTATTGTTCAAAAACTTTGACGAAAACAATACTTTCTCCATATACTATGGTATAGGGGTAGAAAGTAAAAAGTCACTTGTTGACATTTTTATAATTTGCTTCTGGTAATAAAAACAAAAAGTACAGTGCAGACTAAGCCTCACCCTCAAAAAATATAAAACATTTAGTCGATATCACATTCAAGCAAGTTCACATAAATGTGGGTTATATTGATAATATCAGATTACTAATCTCAATTTATTTTAGTGCAAATGATGAAAAATGTATAAATTACTTTTTTCTAATTGAACGTAAAAAAATTAGAAAGTTATCAATTGTTGCAACATTTTTTGTAAAAATGTTAAGGATGTTCTATTGGGAAATCTTCTGACTTTAAAAATCACTCAGCTGAATGCATTTACATAATACATACACCATCACCATCCGTCTCCGTCTTTTATTCTTTTTATCAAATGTAAATATTCTGAAAGAGTCTTTGCTCAACATATTTGCTCGTCTCTTTCTTTTGTCATTTTCCTCAGATGTAAAATATTAAAATAATCTTAATTTGAACAACAATTTACACCTGATCACAAACCAAAATAATGTTTCTTTCTAAGACAAATCTTCTCCTCTAAGAAACCAATATGTTTTAAAGTAATACAATGATTGTTTAACACTTCTAATAATTTTGGTAAAGAGAACTCAATAGTTTCAGATACTTTTTATTACTTTAATTACTATTTAAAGATTTTGAAAATCTTAATCGACTAAAGATTTATCTCCATACGCCTAAGAAAAACATAGAAAACGTTTCTAAGTAGTGATATCCCAATGGAACCATTATCATAAAGTAGCTGCCATTAACTCAATAATGAACAAGTAGGAAAGTGACCTTTGGGAGTTGAAAAAGCTTTCCTTAAAGGGTGTTGCAAAAAACTTATGTTCACTAACAATTTGATCCTTGCGCTGTTACCTTTCAACTCTTTAACATTCTCTAGTTCAATAACAATGAGGTCACTTGCATTATTAGTAGTATCTTAACCGGGACTCAAATGTCTATTGGCGAAACATTCATTAATACTTGTATACAATGGTATAACGATATAATGCATTTTGTGAGTCGGTGGCTCAGTCGGTAGCGTCGCGGACTTCGGGCCCAAGGCAGCGATGTTGTGGGTTCGGATCCTGGCCACTGTAATTTTATCAGTACAGTTCACCTTCGTACCGTACCGGCTCACCTTTTGCTTTGATGCATACGTTCCACGCATGGGCAGTTAGTCTATGTGGACGTGTAAATGCAAGGTTAAAAGATGACCCCAACCTCTTAAAAATAAAATCAACGGTTTCAGCATTCTGACACATACTTTCTCCCATAAGCTTGTCAACAACCTTTATCATGGGTAAGTGGTGAGAGCAAATACATATGATATTGTATAGTTAAAAATCACAAAAAGTGCAATAACTTTTCAACCGTAATTGTTACAGCAATGGTTTGTTGTACAATGTATCTTATAACAGATTTTTCGAAGTGAGTTACAATTATATACCATAAAAAGTTTATGTCCTGAAATTATCTTTATAACACTCAATTACATCTTCCAAATCAGTAAATACCCCCACCGCAGCAAACCTGCAGACTAAGCGAATTTCCATATGCCTGACTGGATTTACACTAAAATGTCTCCTTAAAAATATCACTTTTATTCCCTATTTAAATAACATTAGTTTAACGAGTACTTAGGTTTGCTGCAACAGGGAGGGTAAAAAGATATTTTTGTGTAAAATGTAATAGTTTAGTATGAAATGAATGCATTTTCCAAATTTGATCAACATATGTTCATAAACAAGCAAACTACAACAGTTTACTTATTCTCCATAAGAATAACATAGGAATTTTAAATTTACAGATTTTTGGCATTTTCTCCGTAACCATTAGGCGCATAGTAACGCTTCAGTATACTAAATTATTTGTTTCTTTAAGCTCTACAAAATAGTTTGGAAAGAAATTGCTAAATTTTAAGTTTATAGGCTCAAAAATGGGAAAAAACAACTTTTACCCCATAAAACCTCCCATAAACCCTCGTTCCCATAGTCCGATCATATATATATATATATATATATATGAATTTGAGCGGATGGTGTTTTTGGTCTCTAGGGACCTCAAAACGAAAAAGTAAATCGGTCCCGGGTCCAGGTCTTACCATGAGTACTACGGCAATAGTTTATTCCCTATAGGGGAAATTCGCTAAAACACAGAAGTTAACAATTTTAAATTATGAATCACAAGCAATGGTTGAAAAGAGCACAGGAAACTAAAAAAAATTGTGTATCTTCATAAATTATTTGACGAATTTATTCTTGTAAGGAATAGATATTGAATTGAAAATGTTGAAAAAACTAAATTTGTCTGGTGTTTGGGACGGTTCTTCTTCTTCTTCATTTGACTCATAATCGATAGTCAAATCCTGTACTGCAAAATCCTTTGGCAAATCTGGATCCCTGTCCTGTTCAGAGGCTTCTATGATTTCGTCAACAGTTTCATGCACCATATCGATACCTCGCCCTTGGTTGAAGGCAGTGTGGTCGAAATCTTCAAACCCTTCTTTAATCAACCAGGGATCATTTAGACGAACGGCTAGCCAATCCACGTCCTTAAAACACACAAAGCCAACACCATAGAAAATACGCAAAGTAAGTTAGGTATTGTTAGAAGTAGACACTCCATTCTTGTGTTAAGCCTGTAGACTAAATTGAACGTAGTTTATTTATTCATCCACTGACATCTTCAGTGGATAAGTAATGATTTCTGTATAGGACACTATTTTTAACAAAGTTGGAAAAAAGGACAACTTATTTGTTAAGAACATGTTATTTTATGACACATCAACTATCACAGTAATACAGAAATCTGTGAGTACCTCATGGAACTGTCAAATTTGAATAAAATAATGTTGTTACAGCTGGTATACAGGGTGAACAACTTAACTGTGCCACCATTGGTATCTCAGAAACTATTAGGTTTAGAGAGAACATTAAATGGAGAACTTCAACTAGTTTTTAATTACATAAAACATATGAATTCCATTGTTTCAAAAATGGCCACCATTTTCCAATATGGTGGCCAACTTTACAATTTCTTATGGGACACCTTCTTATGTATTTTGTTTGAGATTTTGGATGCAATTTTAAGACTTTTTTATTTCTGGAGTTTTCTCTCTAACCTACTTGTTTAAGAGCTACGTTAAACTTTGAAAAATTAGCTAGCCATGCCATAGTTATTATGTCATTAGCTTTTTTTTTAGAAAATACAGGGTGTCCCATAAGAAGTTTTAAAGGTGGCTGCCATTTTTCATTATATTATATTTATTGGACCATTGGAATTCATATTTTGTTATGTCATTATAAACAAGTTGATGTTTTTATCTCTATAAATCTAATAGGTTCTGAGATACCAATGGTGGCACAGTTAAGTTGTTCACTCTGTAGAGTAATGTAATATAATGTCTACTTCAGTAAAAACAAAACTGCACTATAAGATAGATTTTAAGTAAGAGCAATCAGTAAAATTCTTCCAAATTAATGTTGTTTTATTAAACATAATCAGTCCTGAGGGGTAGAAACATACGTTTGAGAACTGAAAAAAGTTCATACGAAAAAGCTATTGTAACTTGTTTAAGCAATTAAAATCAAACAACATTAAACACACCGTAACAGTTTTTCATTTTACAATAGGATAAGAAATTAACCGGCACTTTACAAAGTCGGTGATAAATTGAATCAACGTAAAGTTGTCTGACCACAGCTACCAGAAGGGAATCTTCCAAAATAATTTCCCATGAAGTCTCTGTCCAATACGTTCATAGGCGGAAACCAGACCTTAATCCCCGTGGTGGGTAGGGACAAGGCAGCTCCTTCGTGACGCATTTTTAAGGATTTCAGTATCCTAAAAGCTACGACGGCTGACCGTCAGGGTGGAAGATTGTATGGAAAACGGAAAATAAAAACTCCCTTTTCTCACTGCAGCGTTATAGCCTACTATTTCTGAGTTCACCCTAGTAAGATTATCTAAATATATAAAAGGCAAAGCCCTCACTGACTGACTGACTCACTCACTCACTCATCACTAATTCTCCCACTTCCCATTTACCTAGGAGGCTGAAATTTGGTACACTGATTCTTTAGGCATTAAATAGGAAAACTAAGTTGTTTTTATTCTGATCGGACTCTCGGGCTCCGCCCCAGTGGGTCTGGAGTTTCCCATGTTAACCTTATGAGTACTCATATTTAAATGGAATTAATGAATCTTAACAGCTGTTTAAATTAAACAAGTTGGTTCTGTTCTACGATGTTCAATAGCATTAAAGTTACAAGGATTGCAAACAGGGTGCAGCACAATTTTGTAAAAATTTATGACAACAGCTAATTTGCAACCAAAAGGTGAGTGAGCATAGCGAACGAACTTCAACCTGGAGGCGAGTTAGCGTAGCGAACGAGCTAACTTATGAAGTAAAACGGGGCAAAGCCCGCGGGTACAGCTAGTACTATATATAATTGTACGAGCAAAAACGGTGTAATAAATTTCAACAATCGGATAATTTTATTTCGCAATCGATTACGTCAAATAAGTATGACCGTTGTGGTACGACACCGCTAAAATACCCACATTTAAAGTGGTTAGTAAATTTGTATACGGAATCCTATAACATAAAAAATAGCCTCCATTTATACATTGTAGATATTTAAATCGATAAATGAGGCGAAATTGTAGATATTCCTTTTGTTGGACAGAGTAGAAAATAAATCACAAGTGAAATAAAATTAACTTTATTTAAACTAGCTGTTACCCACGGGTTTCACCCAGTTTGACTTCATAACTTAGTGTTAATAAAACTATTGATTATTTAAGTTAAGCTGAAATAAATAAACAGAATACAATAATACAAACAAATAATCACACCTGATTTTAAAGGTGAGTGAGCGTAGCGAACAAACTTCAACCAGGACGTGATTGAGCCATGCGAACGAGATAATCTTGAAAATTAAGAAGTTAAACGGGACAAAGCCCGCGGGTTACAGCTAGTTATACATAAACTGAAAGTTACTGCACTGAATAATAGAATGCAGGATTTGTAAACCGAATTACTAGGTTTGAGCATTGACTATTGGATACAGTTTATTAATAGTCAAAGATTTGAGCCAACCATATGTAAGGTAGTTAAGGTTCAATTAGTTAATCATTGTTTCTTTAGTTTTATTTTCCTGTCGAAACAATATCAATTAATTGAGTCAGACAATCATATTTCAAATGTACCAATTCAATATAAACAATCTTCTAATAGTTTAAATTGATGGTCTTTTCGCACATCGACACGTATGCATAGGCAACTATTGTACATGATCAGTGGTATATATAAAAAATTAATCATCTTAGCCCTAAATTTAACTTTGTAAAGTTCGTAAAAGCACTGCTTTGGACGAATTCCTAAATACATCCTTCACGGGGATATTTTGGAAATGATGCAGCTTTGTTGGGGGGGATTAAATTAACCTTTTTAAGCATTCACATAACTGCTATGTTCGTACATATGGGAAACCCGAATTCCCGTCCCTCCCAGGTCCCTCCCACCACCTGGCCTTGCCATCGTGGCTTTCAGAATATCTTGGAGGACATCAAAATGTGTAGCTTTAAGAGTCTTCATCAGTGGTAGCCATATTGGATTTTAGTCCCATAAGAGCAATGTTAAATTTGACAGAACATACATACCATTATTTGAAGCAGCAAGCCGGTGTTAAAAAGTTATAGGTATTTTTTAAAGTTAATAATTAGGTTTATAAAGTAGAGCACTAGGGAATAAAAGGAAATTATTTTTCAAAAATTTGTATTTGTCTTTTCTTAATAAATTATTTAATTAAAGACTTGATTAATGATCATTAACAGTGGAGGGAAACTGGAAAAACTAAAATCTTGACTCTAAGAGGACAACTAATCCTTAATTTTAATATATTAATCAGTATTTTATTACATCAGGTTTATTAGAAATTTTGGATTTGACTAAAATCCAATATGGCTAACACTGATTAAGACTAATAAGATGTGCCAGCTTTACACACTAGCATAACTAAAGCAGCGCTAAATTGAATTAGGAAACAATATTTGTCTGTGTTATGTCGATGTTACTGCAGACTTTTGCTTTATAGAAAAAGAATGCTTGGTTGGTTTAGAATAAAAACCCACCACTTAAAGAACTTTTAAGTCATTCATATAACTAAGGTAATGTAATTCTTAAAGATATGGTCAAACCTCTGGCCGAGCTATGGTATCCAATTTTCCAGAAAGCAGATATATTCGTTTATTTATATTCCGTATTTTGTACTCATACGGTTTTGTTTTTCCATCATACACATTTGGATTATCTTGTCCATAGTCAAACTCTTGGAACCTTCCTAAAAATAGCTCGAATAATAAACAACCTTACAAATAATTCAGTAGGTTATATGACTATAAATACAGACTTCTATGCATGGCCAAAAGTGAAAAGTATTATGCTAGTTGAGTTGGAAACTAAACTTTTAGATATGGAATTATAAAAAATCTCTTAATAACTATTTATTGGATTTAGTTTTTAATATGTTAACTATTTAAGTAACCTTATACTAGAATATCTTATAGAGTAAAATTTAAATGCAGTGATGGTTTTTCCAAAACCCTTATTTTAAGAGTTTACGTTTGATTCATATAGATTAGATCACACTTTTCAGAAACCAGTTATTGTAGTGACATCATGTGTTGGCACATTTCAATCTTATTATTGGAAGAAGCACTCGCCTAGTTAGTCATAGAAAACACGAAATGTAGGGACCCTGTACATTTTCATTTTAGGGCCCTGAGAGGACAGAACACAATTAATGCATGTTTGGTCGTAAAACTGCAAAAATTATGTATATTTAGTTTTTTTTGTGAAATCTGATAAACATGAGAACCAACATCAATTTGAACAAATATGTGTGAATTTGGGCTACTCCGATGTTTGAAGAAACAAGCAGAATATGTGGTTAGTTTACAGTATCATAATGAAAGGATTATTTTACCACTGCAAAAGCAACAATTTGAGGTAGATATTCCTCAGATAAAGTAATACCGACGCCACCGCAAACGAGCTTGCCTGATTTGATTTTTACTTAAAACATTAGGTGTATCGAGTACCCAGGTTTGCTGCCATAGGGTGGTTAGTACATGTGTTTTTGGCAAAATATTAATAGCTTAGTATAAAATAAAATAATTTGCCAAGTTTGATCAAAATAATACCCATAAACAAGTACATTTTAACAGTGTACGTATACTATAAAACCCCCACAAAATCCAGTTCCCATGGTCCGATCATGCTAGTTCACGATCCCGTTTGTACCAAATATCATCAAAAGCGGATGATTTTTGCTCGAGTTTTCGTGTTAACGGGCGAACACACACATATACAAATGTATGAATTTGAATGGATGGCATTTTTGGCCTCTGGGGACATCAAAACGACAAAGGAAATCGGTCCCGAGCCCAGGTCTTAAAATGAGACCTATGGTAATAGCTTATTCCTTGAATGGAAAATTCGCAAAAAACTGTCGGATCCAACCTAACTCCATGTTCTTCCAATAACATGGTTCTAAACATTGTTGTAAGTTGGATTGTACTTTATCATGAAGCTACCACTTCGTATAATTCCTTGTTAAACGTTCTTACCTGCTTTAATAATCTGTAGAAAATGGCGATAAGTCTTCCACGATGTGCCTTGGTAAGAGTACTCAATCACATTTTCCGCAGAGGTCTAGTTGTAACAATGTTAAGAGTAGAATGTTTAGTTATTCCTAAAAATGTTATTGTTATACTCTAACTGCATTGAGGAGTATATTTTTGTTTGCAGGGTAAGAAACATTTACATTTACATGTATCATGTATACAAACGAATAGATGCTTAAGAGTTGGATAAACCTGTTTCAACACAATAGTTCTTGTGCTAATTTGTGTTTTGGAATTCTGTTGTTTTCTCTTAAATCTGGAAACGATATACCAATCCAAGAATGAGTGGATGTTGATGAACATTGTTTTTGCTCCGGGTTGGTGCTTCCCCTGGAAATTTAAGAGGGAACAGGTTTCCCTAACAGACTGTTTGGCGAAACTCGGGCAATTGACACTGTCAGTGTTTGAACCTTCATTGTGAGGTATGTTATCTTGTCCCCACAATCTAGAAGTTTTAGTGCTTGAGTAAGACTAACTTGATTAAGAGTAATGACAGAATTAGTCAAATTTTTTATGAATAGGCAAACCTTTTACGAAATCAAATTTAAATTTAACTCCGTATAAACAATATTATCTTATATTTAAAAAATCATAGCACCAAAATCAAAGAGATAAATGTTTACACTTTGCCCCAGTGTTTTTTTCAATAATGATTGATTTGAAGAAAAAAAAAACTAAAAGAAAACCAGGTCTATATTGATAAGATTACATCCCTGGTATATTTGTACAGTCAATGGTCTTATTAACTAGTTAATTTTGGTTTAATTTTATCACACATTTACACTATCCTTGTAATATACGTTTTCCTACAAGTCATACTTTATATACAATAAATACTAGCATGTTTAAAATTTTTCTCTTTTACGTTAAACATAAACTTATCCTTAGTTTTACTCAAATTAAGCTTCATCGAGGGGAATATTTTATGTCTCATACTTTTCATTACCAAATCATGTTACCAATACTTACTCGATCAAACATGCTGGCTGGTACAACTGTATGTACTACTTCTATTTCACCAGATTCACTACTAGAGTTTTCATCGATTACTCTTCTCTCACGTTTTTCAACTATCTCCTCATACTTTGGTGTTCCACTTAAAAACCTGCATAGTGCACCGTAGAATGTGTCTGAGTCGCAAACGTTATGCTGGAACTTTGCGATCCAAGGCTGTTCTCCATGTTTGGGAACACCAATCATCGGTAAAGTTTTCTAAAAAATTAAAGGTAGATTATTACATGCAAAATGTTGTCAATTCGATCGTGAAAAATTCTATAGTTATTAATAGCCTAAAACCAGGCCAGCTCTCTTGGGATTTCAATAACCCCAAAACTCCCAAACGTGTTCAATAATACTCTTTTTGCGATTTTGTAAAATTGGAAGTAGCTTAAAACCACGGAGCATTAAGAAGAGAAAAACTGTTATACGCCGATAAAATCAAGTAAGATTTTAATGGTTCTTCTTTGTCCTAGATTGGCTTTTTATAAACCGTCCGGCTAAAGAAACAAATGTAGTTCTTAAACTACACCAAACATCTGAATTACTCAACATTCAATCTTCATTCGTATTCAGTTTAAAAAAGGTCCCACAATAAGTGTGGTCTCCAAGTAAACAATATTTCAAGAGAACATGTTCTATAAATTTTCATCAGTTGATTATCTTACCGCAATGAAGTTAGCAATGTTCCATTTGAGCGTCGATGAGGCCGCCGTCAAGTGCTTGGGTACCGCGACGGGAGCCAGGAAAGTTACGGTGTCAACGAGTACCAGGTTTTCGGGGAGCAAGGATCCCATAACCAGAAACATCGTGGTTCCCATAGAGTGGCCGATGTAGTGGACTTTGGATTTGCCAGTGGTGTCAGTGATGTACTGTATAACTGCCGGGAGGTCAAACTTGCCCATTTCATGAAAACTGCTGACAAATATACGTATAACATTTAAGAGATGGCACGGGATTACATAGGACATTTGATAAAACTGTGTTTTAAGGTCTTACTGCGGAAACGTCACACATTTTTCTCAAATAGTTTTTCAATCGTAATAACAGGCTTGCGGAGGAGAGAGAATTCATCATTAATTAAAGCTGTGGACCAGAACAAACCAGAAGGAAGAAGACCACTCTGCAGGCCGAGACTGCGATGGAGGAGTCAGGTGCTGAAGCATGGGGCTGTATTGGGCACTACTCCTGAGGCAGCGGAGGATAGAGAAGAGTGAAGAAGCATCGTTGGCGAGGCCAAATCCTTCTGAGATTTCAATGGCCAATGAGGTAATGTAAGGTAATAACAGTTTTGCGCAACATTTCTCCTATACATTAGAAAGAAATTATCTTAGTAGAAACAAATTAGCTTCTAAAGAGGTAAAGTTCCGACAGTTTTGATGCTACAGCATTTGAACTGTAAGCTAACTCTGTTGAAAAAAATAATTTGAAGTTGAACAAATCTGCATTTTGGGGGCTCGGTTTAATATGATTTCCACAATAATGTATTGCCAGTACATTGCCCAAACTTTGTATCAAATTACCATCAATCAAGGGTTAAGTTATTTCTGTCTGTTTTAATACAAACCGGTTTTGTAAATTGCGGTTTCTTGGACGTAATTACTGTATAACTTTCAAAATCATCATCATGTATATATTATTATTGTATAGTTAATACGATAACACAATTTGTCGGTTGAACTCCTTCGCCATTTCTTAACCGATTTTATCCATTGACGTCTCATTGAAAAGAGCGTGTCGCGTAGATTTGCAAACTGACCTTACATTTTCGAAAAAGTCCATTGGGCTCTGCCCCAGTAGCCTTTAAATTTCCCATGTTATCCTCATAAAGAACATATTTGTTTAGTTTATGATCAGCTGGATTTAATTGCTGTTTCTGCTATTCAAAGAAATGCGTCCTACAAAAATTCAATCTTTAAAAATTAAATAATTGAAAGAACCCATTTGCAAATTATGGAAACAAAAAAAAGGAATTTAAAAATTGTACCTTTGAATTATACACTGTTTTAACTGACCACTAGATTCCCGTACGTAGGACGGGTCAACAGCTTGTGTTCTTTTGAGACGTTAGCTACACAATTATGAGTTGGTATGATATAAGAAGATATGGGATGCATACCCATATGTTAAGTTAAAAACTTACTGTTAGGTAAATAAAATGATCTAAACTAGGAAAATGATTTTAAAATGTCAAGATAATACTTACTGCTAATTTATATATTATTGAAAATCAAACGTATTTTACTGGTTACACATTATAGAACGAAATCTAGCTTAAAGATAGGTATTTCTGCTGTAAATGTAATTTCGTTAAATTTCCTTACCTGAAATTCCAATATTCAGCACTGTTTGTATCAAAATGCTCATGTTTTTGGGAGAACTGAGTTCCTCTCGCGTTTCCCACCCAAACATCGTAACCATTGTTGAACAGGTGATACACTAGAACAATTTACTGAGATAAAAAATAAAGTTTAAATCATACCCGTCCATCCTGACACAAAAACTAACACATCATGTCTTAATTATAGAACCAAGTACTATGTATCAAGTACTTCTTACATATTGTAAATATCTTGTGACACTCTATGTTAATTGTAATAAAACAATTGATATAATTCTGTCACGTTTGGCAAACATTGTTAAATTATGACTCTTCATCCTTAAGCCTTTCAATGCTGGTTGCTTGTTAGCATCGGTTTTATTTGTGTTAAGAAGATATTCAGATGAAATTTACTTCCAGCTAGGTTGCAATTAATGTGAAATGGCATCATCAGTGTTTAATCTGAGATCAATGCCAAACCAACACCAAAACATTAGTAAGTACTCTGGTAAAAAATAGAGATTGAAAAGTAAAAATATTTAAAAATCCGTTTGTTTTATTTTTTGAATTAGGATCTCCCCTTTAAAATGATATAGATAATTATTTGTATTGTTAAAAATCAACGATCACAAAATACTAAATTCAACCTCACATGAAGTTTTAAAGCTCCGCCTCATGAAGCCGGCCGAGGCTTACCTTAGTAATCCATTTATCAATTTTTCCGAAAGTAATTTTGTGTGTGTACATGTCACGTTTCTCAATCAGTAACAGAGGTAAACAATGATTAAGTCGCTTATCGTCAATGCAACATACATATATATAATTTGACTCTAGTGGCCTACCTAAGCTTTTTTTGTTAGCCAGGAAGGCAGCACCACAAGAAAGATGGCCGTGCTGTAAGTAAACAGGGGATTTGGACGAATCCTTTTTTGGAATGCGGAATACTGTCAAAACGTAGCCGTCAGCTGTAGTCACTGTATGGGGTTCCAAGTTATAGTTCCAGCGATTCACCATGGATACCTGTGGGGAAATTACATTATATACGTACGCTGTCGTACAGTATAACGAGTAGGCCTATGCCATGATGTGATCATTTTTGTTACCATCATTTAAAGTTTTCGTTTCTTCTAAGAAGCGTTATATATTTTTAGTTGTGATTGAGCATAATTAGGTTTTGGTTGTTATTGAATAATGTTTTAATTGTTTTTGGTTGTTGACAGCTGATAAGACGGCGTCCGAAGCATTATTAAACTTCTTTTCTCTCAATCCTTAAGCCCCATTGGTCTGTTACTTTACTTCACTAGTGCAGTAAAGTAATGAAATAATGAGGCAAAGTGAATAGGCTAGTTTAAGAAATGGTTGTATGTAATAACTATTTACTATGTTGAATTATGCTGTGTATAGCTAGGATGAGTTAGTTTCAATTATGTTGGCGTTTGCCTAAAAATGAATTAAAAATTTCAAAAAGCCTTTAGAAATAACAGAATATTTTGTATATGATTATGCTTGATTAGATTATTTTATATTTGATAAGACAATGCGAACAAGGAAACAAAAGTCTACAAAATGCCTACAACATCATATTTTGTACTTACCTGAAGTGCCAATGGGCATTCCACAGAAAGACTAGGCAAAGTAAAAATTATATCGAATACTGTACCTAGTTATTCAATAGAAAAATTCCTGAGTATATACTTTGCCGGTAGTACATATGTAATTTGTTCCATCCATTCATTTTACAAATAAACACACAATCGTCAAACTACGAGAATTTATACCCTTTAAGTACGATAGGTTTTTGGTTGATGGGACTGACAATAGCTTAAAATGGGGAAAAAAACTACTTCAATTTCAACTGATTTCTTTTGTTTAGCTGCTACAATGAGATCTTTGATGTGTTTTATAAGTTTTTCAAAACTATGTTTTCGGTGAAATAATATCCGTAAGATTCTTTTTGAAATTATATAGTTAACATTTTTGACTATAGATAGATTTTTTACCATAAAAAGTGTGTGATAAGTTTATTTTGGAAAATGATTTAGCCGTTTGGCAATATTATGAAGAAACAATGACTATAGATAGAAGTATCTTTTAACGTTATAGCCAGTTAAATAATTAAAAAACACATTTTAGTCACGTCGTCAATGTCAATTACCTTAATGGTATTTTTAAGTACACTATCTGTATAACAAGGCCGAACTCCTATGGCGGTCTATGGTGAACTATTAAATATTTAATTTTGCATCAACTATCATTGGTAGAAAATATAATATTGCAGCAGCACTTTCTCTGAATTCGGATGAAAACTTGCAACAGCTGGTTCATATATTTGGGATTCCTACTTCAGTATGCATTGATTTGGGATAGAACTAGACTTTTTTTCATTCCCAGTTGATGTTATAGCCAGTTTTAATAAAATAAACACAGGTGTTTTGTGCTGCTTGTTAATTACAGATTTTTGAAGTAGAATATACAGATTTGCAACCAAGCTAAACTGAAATGTCTTATTGTAAAATATATCATCTATTTTGCGGAACCAACTAACCATTATAGAATATAATAAAATAGGTTAAGTGTGTAAACACTATTTAGGCAGTAGCACTGTGTGAATACATAGCTATGTTCTGTTTGAATATAAAACATAAGCTCAATACCAGTACATGATCCACATCATGTAACTCCTTACTTCAAATCTAAAAGGTTATAATCTCATTTACATACCACATCACCTAGTTTGTTTTCTTCCCCGTTAGGCGTTGAAAGCTCCGATTTTGCGGTTGCACAGTTGCGTAACGTAACTGACAAAACTATTAATTTCCAGAACACCTTATGCTGTATTATAGTCATAATTCACAATGAAAAAAATTAAACACTTGATACACATCAAAAACACTGTTTAAATTAAAATTACGAAAAAGTGTAAAATCATCAATTACTAAGAAAACATGTTAAAAGTTATGGATAAAAATGAGACTAGTGTAGATGGTTTCTGGCTGAAGCATGGCTAGAAACCAACAATTGGTGAGCAAGTTACACAACAGTTGGTATGGCATCCCAGGTTTTGTGTAATTAATGTATATTCATTTAGTTCATTCAAAGCATATAACGATATTATGAATCGGATGATCTTTATTAAGGTTTTAGATGGTTTTTAATCAAGTGAAATGTTTTAATCAATTAACAAATTTACGCTTTTTTGTATTTTTTTGGAAATTTGTTTTAACTTGCTCTTTACAGTTTTCCTAACTCGTCCTACCTAAGCCTTATATTAAAACAACACACAGTAAACATAAGACTAATGGGGTATACTTAATTAAACAGTTACCTTTTGCACACAACTTTCACTAAATGCGTTCTTGTAATTAATGAGTGCAGTTAATGAAAAAGTGATTAATTCTATGTTTAACGCAATATTTTTCCCCTTAGGCTGACATTACATGTCACATATTGCATACCATTTTAAAGCTTAAAATGTGGAGATTTTTTAATACTATTTGACATTAATTACTTGATAAACAGTTTTCTTAAGCGAGTTGTAGCACCCTTTTAATCGATTTTTAACATTTTGAATTGGTTTGTACCATATCATACGTGTTCCGATAGAAAATGTAATTACGATTCTAAAAATGCTATTAAAAATATCATTATTTAGGTTAAAAGTTGAGAAATATGAGATTTTATTAAGCGATGTCAAGAAATTTGAAAAATTTAAAAATGGCTGTTTCCGGAAGTAGGAGTGAGATATAACTATCCAAATTGCGTATTTTTATAGCAATTTACTTGCTTAATAATGCTTTAAAATATTTGAGACTGACTACCAAACACTCTATATACATCGATGGAAGACTCATTGTCTAACAATAGGGACGGGTACCGAAAATAGTAGTAGATGAAGAAGTAGTAAGAACACGACGTTGATCTCAGACTTTAAAATCAGTTCGCTTGGTGGAGGCAAAAGCAAGATGGAGACTTTAATTTACGGGCAACTCGTATTTAAATAGTTTTAAATATTTTATCCAGCCCTTCAAGTGCATGCCAAATTTCATCAAAATCGGATCAAAATTACTCGAGTTATCGCATTCACGGATACACAAACACGTATCCATTTTTATGCATAGTTTTTTTGGCCTCTGAGGCATGAAAATTAAGAAGTAAATAGGCATTGTGCTTCGCCTTGCTACCCGCAATAATGCCGTTTTACCTTTAGGGAAATTTACTAAAACAAATTTTAAATATTTCAACGCACCCGCCACAGCCCAACTTGCTGACTCAGCAAATTGTTATTTACCTGATACGCTTTTCGCAAAGATTTATTACCTATTTAAACACATTTTAAGAGTTGCGTTAATTTGTAAAATAATAATAGCTTAGTATAAATTAACACATTTTCCAGATTTTATCATGAAATATCAATAAACGAGCAACGTACAAAAGTTTACTTACCCTACATAAGTGACATAGGAATATTATTTAAACTACCAGTATATTTTGAATTTTAACTGCAACTATTAAACTCAATACAATACTATAATATACTGAATTATGTTATTTTAAAACTCTACAATTTGAAACTGAAACATGTTATCAGTAACATGTTCGAGGATCGTAAATTTTAAGACTTAGACTTTTTAAACACAAACCCTCATTCCTGCAGTCCAATCATTTTGATTCACGAACTTGTTCAAATAAACGTAAATTTACACGTTTAAACCAAATTTCATCGAAATCGGAGGAATTGTAGCTGGAGTAATTGTACTGACACTCAAATAAATATACATAGTAAATAAGGGTTAATCTGGGGACCTCAAAACGAAAAAGTAAATCAGTCCCGAATCCAGGTCTAACCATGGTAATAGTTTATTCCCTGTATGAGAAGCTATTAAATAAATAAACTAGCTGCCAATTAATTATTTTCCTAGAAACAATGCTTTAAAATTGCATAGCATTACGATGAACAAAACTTTACTTACTTTTAAGCAAATCACAAATCAATAATGCTCCAAATAAAAATTTGAGAAAAATAATATACAGTACAATGTTAACCTTTACAAACCAGTGAGCGTAGTATTCGAGGTATTTAACGCAAAATACACATTTAACATTATTCACGCCAAAACAGTGCACAAGTTGAAATGGTGAATATTTAATGTATTATACTTACAATGTCAAATTTACTCGGGTCACGTGTTTTTACCACTCTAATAAATCCTTTTTCTCTTCTGCACTTTCCTTTCTTTCATCAATTTCCTAAATTTTTCCACTTTCATGTGTGTTTTTTTAAGTTTCATTTTGTAAGCCAATTCATTGCACAAAAACCAATTGTTCATTTTCACAAAATATTTTTTTGCAAATCCGCACAATATAGTTGTTACCTTTGCACGTTTTGTACACTAATCTGCCAAGCCACTTGTGTTGTTTATGCCTCTGCACTCCAATGTTTCCAAGATTTTTCTACACATAAAAAGTCTATCTCGTAGAGTGTTTATCGTTTCTTGATATATTCAAAGTAGAAACCAAATTACTAACTAGTGGACTAACTGGTTTATCAGCTGAAATTCTCATTGGTCAAGTAAAATAAGCTGTTTAGAAAATGCAATGAATAACTTTACTGGAATTCTAACAAAGTAAATGTGATTTTACTATGTTAATATGCAGAGCAAATTTAATTATTGTTGTATTTATTTTCTCACCACCCCGATCAACGTGCACTCCAGGTAGCACGATGAAAAGAAGGTTCATGCATAGGTTTAAATGTTGGTAGTTTTCATTTGTACAATAGAGACCAGAAGGTTCAGCTGGTTTATGTTTACTCTGAACAAACAGATACAGTGCATCACTCTTACAGGGTGTCCCGGAACTCTCTACCAAAATTTTAGAGTATTGTTCCCGAGTTAGAAACATAAGTAAATACCATATTGAAATGGTTCGGAAGTCCTTATTTACTTACACAGCCACCATTTTTTTTCACTTATTACTTTTTCTAAAGAACGGTTTAACATACGAAATTGAAACTTTGCACAAACATTTATTTAAATTTTCCAAATTCATAAAAGAAAATGGTGGCCATTTAAAATTTTGTTATTAAATAACTCAAAAACTGTTGATTAAAAAAAAAATTGCAGCAGTGGGCAGGGACTTTTCGCCCACTCTGTACCATAAATTGAATCATTCTGTTTGAGAACAATAATTGGTCTTTACAGCTTCAGACCTAGTGAATCTCTTCTACTACACTCCTTGTGTAGCAAAACAACATTTGGTTAAAACATAGTAACATCTTAGTTAAACTTCTTGAGGTTTGAAGATTTCACACTTGGAGAGTCTCCAAGTGTGATATTTGACAAAAAATGTTTATAATTTAAAGCTATAAAATATTTGAAATCTTCGTGGTCTTAAAGTTCAAACGTTAAAAAATTCTTCACTAAATTTTTATTTATCCAACAATTTAAAAATAATTGGTAATTTAACTTTTTAATTACAGTTTATTCTTGTTTGGATTTAACTGTCAACAATTTTATGATCGTAATGGTAAAATTACAAGTTTTGCAAAAGATATAGACATAATCGACAAATTTGCAGGCACTTAATGAATGCATATAGAATATGAATTGGCTTGGTATCAAAATCTACTGAATCCACGTTGAACTAATTACTGTAGTAATTGGTTTTCTATCTGCTATTTACACATCATGCTTTGCAATCCTATATGACGATGTGCGAATTACTGATTAGGATTTTCACTGCTACAATTATTAGAATTTACACATTTCTGCTTGATAATTTAATACGAGTTTCCCAACAGTATTACAACTTAAAAAAGTATATTTGAGTCATAAAGTTTTTTTAGTTACCATCGTGTCTGTCAATCGTGTGTGCTGATATATAAAAATGTTTTAAGTGTAAAGTTTTTTACCAGGTGACACATTCTGAAAATATGTTAAAGAACCACATGTTTAAAGTCGCCTACTTTGGGCAACGTTTTATGGTTGCAATGTGTAACTTTAATATGAATTGTGAGGGAGCTGATCTAGTGGTAGAACACTAGCCTTCGGCCCCCAAGGTCCCGGGTTTAAATCCCACCAAAAACCAATTCTTTTGGGCTATGTAATATTGCTGTGACTCTCTCGGCCCATGGTGAAGCAATCGGTTCTAGAATAGAGCCCTGTATTTTATACTGTAAAGGTAGAAAAATTAAGTACTATACGTGTTCATACATCTTAAATTTGCATCTCATATTACAAGTTTTACGGTTGGATGACTTTGCTGTTTTACCCCTTTCTCATAATATAAAATAATAATGTATTCTTGACAAAGCCAACGGATTAGTGTTATTTACGCTTTAATAACTTTAATTAAGACAGAGCATAACAAAATGTAACTATGCTAAAGGTAAATAAGTATTGCTCTGTAAATGAAAAAGAGCACACCAATGAAGCTTTGACGGGGACTAACTTGATTAACATCAGTGAGGCACAAAGGAATGTAATCAGGAGGCTTCCAATCACCAAGTGAATCAATCAGTCAGGTAATTCTGTAGCTTTATTTATCCTACAATCGGCAAAAATTAGAAACATATATTCCCAAATGTACTGATATAATTAGTTACAAAATAGTAAATGGTAAAATCATAAAACAATAATCCATGGCAATTCAAGCTCAAATGGTACTCATCGTGATTTTTTTTTTTCATTTCAAACTTACTTCTCCTTTCATTTTAGGTAAGATTTCAATGAAGTAAAAATATGACACACAAGTGACATTTTTCCTTGATATTCAACAAACATTTTCCTACTGGAAATACTTTTCCTCTCAATTATTGAGTAAAGAAGGAGCAGTTACTAACCTTAATGGCTCTTGAGCGCCAGAAATACTCCACTGGACAATAAATCACCATGAGGGCTTTGCACTTACTAGGGTTTTAAGTTTTCTAG